AATACAACGGCTGACTTTACGTCTTGACTCGGCGACTGTTACTTTATAACTCTGCGGTAGCCACACTAGAACTGACTGTGAATAGCCTTCGCTGCTCCCTATGTAGCCTCGATCGGACAATACGGGAAAACGGCCACGTAATAGGCACCCTTGTTGCTAGCCACGCTGTGTTGCTATGTAACGCTAGCGGAGGTCACCGTTGTTACTATCGTAACGTCGCCGCTGTTGATTCGCGTTGCCTAGCGACCGCGATATCCCTCGGTGACGTCACCGCGGAGGGGGGTGGCGGGGCGGGAACTTGCCTATTACCGTAGTAACGCGAGCGTTACGTTATCGCCACGTACCGCTGGGGCGGTAGGGGTCAACATGTCACAATATATTGAATGAAAGCAAGAGGTTGTGCGTGGCCGCTAATATCGGTGGACTCGATCTGAAGCGAGAACTTCTGACTGCTGTTGGATTTTCTCCTTCATAATGGCTTCAATGTCACTGGACATGTCAGCAGAGAGAGGAATTTTTTAAATTTCACTAGCAGCTTCTGAACCCAGGACTATTTTCACAATCTCTTTACAAGCAGGCATTAACAACGTTTCAGCTATTGTGTGTGGTTTTTTGGCCTTTACGATAAGTTCGGCAACCTTATAACTTGCTTCCTGTACTTTTTCTGACACACGTACTCTCGCAGTCATTAACGTTTTTTGTTTTATTCCAACAAGCAACGAAAATAATTGACACATTTGCTTGTTAGAGAAGAATGTTTTGTTGACATATGTCGTTTCAATTTACTGGGAACCATAGCAGCATTACTGAGATTTCACCACAAACGATACACTCAGGAATTGGGCACGTTTTATCACCACACCAAAAGAACCGTAAGATAAGTAATTATCACTATACTGCCAGTGTACTAATTTTTGTTTCTCTTTTTCGGGCTCAATACTTTCACTACCTGCACTCGTGGACGAAACACTCTGTATAAGGAATTTATCCATCTTGAAAAAATAAAGTAGTCTAATAGCAATAGAGAATAGCAAGACTAACTAGCAACCACAATGTTTGAACTACTTCAGAGCACAGCTGTGATAGAACTGAAACAGTTGTAAGACGTGGGACCTCTACTCTTCAAACGGAAGAAGTGGCACATATACTGACTTATTTTTTTAAAATATTTATAATTTTAAATGAACTCCAATAATCGGTGGGTGCATCGTTACAGGAAGAAAGTCATAAATTTGAAGAAGCTCTAACTTCTAAAAACAGGGACAAATACCAAAACAGTGTTATAAAATGTATGTATTGGCCGTCTTCTAGTGCACACAATGTCACATGTCACTTCACTACATGTTTCGGCATCACTGCGCCATCCTCAGGTGTGTTATTTACGTTAAACTATTGCACTGCTCACCATCATGTGTTGTTTATAGAATTATTTAAAATGTATATTCTTCATGTACTATGGTAAAATTTATATATATTAAAATTTGTTAAGATTGATCATCTTATACGTCTTACTTCGAATTCGCGTATTATATTATTCTTCCACTATGGGAGTCGTTCTTCCTATATTTTGTGTATACCTGCAACGTGAAAATGGTACTTGTTAACATTACTTTTTTACTTCCATCTGTTGCGTGTTGTTTTATAATGTTTGGTACACACTGTGTCTTGTGATGTGTCCTTCGTCTTTGGCTGCGTGCGTTGTAATGCTGGATGTGTGTCTCTTTGTATTGATTGAGTTATGATGTTGTGGGGGGGTAGGTGGTAGGGTTGTGTTATGTTCTTCTGTGTAAATTGTGTGTAATTCATGAAATATTGGTTATATATTTCTTTACTTATATTGTTCATATGCATGTTTTTCTTTCTTGTTCTGTATATATGATATCCACAGTATTTTCTGTTGTACCATATGCATGTCCTGTGTTTAATATGTGTTCCGAGCATCCTGTATTGCTGTTATTGTGTCTTATGTCATGTATGTGTTCTTTATATCTGGTATTAAATTTCCTCCCAGCTTGTCCTATATATTCCATGGGGCGATCTAGGCATTTCATTCCATATATGCCACTTTTGTTATATTTACTCATTTGTGTTTTTGATTTTAATATCTGTTGTAAATTATTCTTAGTTCTAAATGCTATTTTTAATTTTTTGTCTCGAAATATTTTTGTAATATTTCTTGTTTTCCTATATATGTGAATGTTGCCCATTTCGTTTTTTGTCCTTCTGAATTCTCTGTAATATTCTGTTTCTTTGTAATGTTTTGGTTTCTGTTATTTGTAGATAGTTTAGAAATTATATCTGTGTTGTACTTATTGTTTATGAGTATGTTATTTATAGTAGCTATCTCAGTATCTTTCGCTACTTTGGTAATGGGGTAATTATTTACTCGATCTATAAGGTATTTAATGCCAGATATCTTGTGTTCTTGTGGATGATATGAGTCATTTGGTATTATTATGTCTGTTGCTGTGTGTTTGCGGTGGATTGAAAATTGCAAATTTTCTATTCCTCTGTCCATGATTTATGCTAACCATCTTGCAGTGCACACACTTTTTCACCTTACTCTTCTCTTTTGCACTACATGTTTCAGCACTAATGTGCCATCTTCAGGTGCGTTTTCTCTATGCACGTCTAATTACTGCATTGCATGTCCTGACTAAAATGACTAAAATATATATTTATCATGTATAATAATAGATTTTAAATATTAAAACTGTTTTTGGTGGTAGAGTGTTGAGATGGGTAATTTTTCATGTACCTGCTATGGTTTGCCTTCCTTTTTATTTTAGGTTTTTGGCTATTTCTGTTAGTTTATTGGGCAGTTGAGTTGGGTATGAGTTGTCTAGTTTTAATTTTTATTTTAATATTCCTCTATATATTCCTATATCTAGGAAATTTGTAGATTTATGGTTCTCTTTCTCTATTGTGAAATTTATCGTTGGTTGTAGTTTATTAAATTCTATAATCATATCGTCAATATTTGTTTTGTTTATATCATATAATATTAGTATGTCGTCAACATATCTGAAATATCCAATTATGTTCTGTTTCTTTAATATGTCGTAAATTTGTGTGTGTTCAATGTTCTGGATATATATTTCTGCTAATATTGCATATATTGGAGCCCCCATAGCTAAACCATCTGTTTGTTTGTAATATGTAATATTCCCATACTGGAAGAATAGTATAATATGCAAATTTGAAATAAGACATGTAAAATGATAAATCTTAACAAATTTTAATATATATAAATTTTATCATAGTACATAAAGAATATACATTTTAAATCATTTTATAAATGACACATGATGGCGAGCAGTGCAGTTTAATTAGGTGCAGGGACAACTTTACCTTTGCCTTTATATCACTCACAAAGATTACTATCCATATACAAGACTACACGGTGTGACAGCCCAAAAGACCACAGTCTGAACACTCACCACCACTAAAACCTGAAAACTGTATGTCCACTAAATTATCAAGCTGTCTGAAAATGCAAAATGTATATTGGCTACATCACATTTTTCTTTTTCAGTCATGCAACCATAGGAACCCAGTGGAAACATCCAAGGACTGGCAAGAAGAAAGCTGTGTCAGAAGGTGAAGAATCCGTATAATAATCAAATCTTGTTATGCCTGATTCCACTGAAGAAGTGTTGCTCAATTACATTAACTTAAAATATGGGAAGTTTGTGGACTGGTTGCAGTGTCATGGTGAAAGCTGTGACATTGATAGCACTTAGCACTTCCCCTTGTAGCCACATGGGCCACGCCATAGCTCAAGCGGTTAGTTGCTGGCCCGGGTTCGATCCTGGGTCTGGTGAAATGGGATTTGTGGTGGTCAAAGTGGCGCTGGGGTGAGTTTTCTCCGAGGACTTCGGTTTCCCCTGCCAATCTTCATTCCACCAAATTCTCCATCATCATAATCACCTGGGTCATGNCTATCCATATACAAGACTACACGGTGTGACAGCCCAAAAGACCACAGTCTGAACACTCACCACCACTAAAACCTGAAAACTGTATGTCCACTAAATTATCAAGCTGTCTGAAAATGCAAAATGTATATTGGCTACATCACATTTTTCTTTTTCAGTCATGCAACCATAGGAACCCAGTGGAAACATCCAAGGACTGGCAAGAAGAAAGCTGTGTCAGAAGGTGAAGAATCCGTATAATAATCAAATCTTGTTATGCCTGATTCCACTGAAGAAGTGTTGCTCAATTACATTAACTTAAAATATGGGAAGTTTGTGGACTGGTTGCAGTGTCATGGTGAAAGCTGTGACATTGATAGCACTTAGCACTTCCCCTTGTAGCCACATGGGCCACGCCATAGCTCAAGCGGTTAGTTGCTGGCCCGGGTTCGATCCTGGGTCTGGTGAAATGGGATTTGTGGTGGTCAAAGTGGCGCTGGGGTGAGTTTTCTCCGAGGACTTCGGTTTCCCCTGCCAATCTTCATTCCACCAAATTCTCCATCATCATAATCACCTGGGTCATGCTACAATAGGCCAATGAATGGCCGCCGTGCTGAGTGGAACCAGTAGGACTCCACCCCCCACTAAGCAAATTAAAAAAAAAATTGATGTAGCCACATAATACTTGTATCACTACATAAACCACACAGTTGGAAGTGGATGATGTCTGTAGACAAGTTCCGGAGTTTCCTGTGACATATTTGAATTGGGAGCCGGGATAGCGCAGTCAGTATAGCAACTGGCTACGTACTGGATGACCAAGGGGTTAGAGTTTGATGAATCCTGGTAGGGTCAAGAATTTTCACTTCTCCATGTTATCCAGACTGGCTTTGGGGTTCACTCAACCTCCTATACAGTGGGTACTGGGGGCTCTTTCCTGGGTGGGGGGAGGGGGGGTTAAAGTGGCAGGGGCATGAAGCTGATCAGTCACTTCCAACTTGTGCCAAGGTCAAGAAAATGTGGATCTATACATCCACCCTTCCATACGTCTTCAAGGCGTAGTGCTTAATTAGTTAAGTATACAAGGACAAGTTAACCTTTATCTTTACATATTTGAATTATGTGGAGTATAATCTACCCCTATGTTACAGATAGTTTTAGCCTGCTTTCTTTACTTTGAGATCACCCTGCTGTGTGTCTATATGTATCCCCTGCCCCCACCCCCAAAATTTTGAATGCCTGAACGAATCTTTATGAAACTTATGAGCCAGTGTGACAGCACAGACAAACCAAGTGACAGCTTTGGGTAGCCTGATTTTAAACGCAGCACATTTGGTTACTACCCCCTCCCCCCTTTATTGCTTTAATGAATTGAAAATGAGTGTCTTCAGCCTATTTGTTGATACAGTGACCACTAATTGGAGGTAATCTAAACACCAAATTGTCATGTGTTGGGTAGGTCACGCGACAAGTAACTTCATGCCATCTTGGGTTATAGCGAGTTTATTCCACTCGGTCTTACAATTACACAATTCACAATCTCCCAGTTACTGCCATCTGCCATATCACGATTACTTCTCTTGCTGTAGTCACTTCCATGCACTCGATACAAATCAGTAACTACTTGTAGGCTGCTGGACTTCAGCTCATCTGTCTGAATATTCCATCCTCAGTACTAGTAACTGGCCAGTACTCACTAGTAATGGACTAGTGGCTAGGAATTTCAGTTTATTCTTACAAAATCTTGAGAAAGTTGATGTTGGGAAGTATATTTGCATGATAAATATAATATCTTATATATAATCTTCATATTTGTATTCCATGTGGAAACATCATTCCTCATGCATTTGCTTATCCTGACTTCAGGAGTTTCAAAGGCATGAGATACTTCTATAAAGAAAACAATGTTTAAAATTTTGTGACTTCTTGGTGACAAAACCAATCAGAATTGCATAATTTCTGTGTCATAACTTCTGAGAAATCTGGTCCAAACTGAAGTCAAAGATTGATGTCAGTAATACCAGAATAAGAAAAGAGCTGCCCCTGTTGAGGTATAATTGATACTAGTATGCATTAGGGATGACCAGCACTGTTTCTCACGTTGAATTTATGGGGCTCAAAACAAATTAGTTTGGCATAGTATAGTGAGAATATATGCTTAATTGAAATTGTGTTTCTGCACTTCCTCATTAAATTGACAAACAGTGGTTCACTTGATTATAAGAATAATCAGTGGAGTTCAGTGAAGTCAGATCCTGCATCTCTTAGTGATAATTGTCATGCAAGCTCCAGTTATTTTCATTCCTGTAGATAATTCAGTTAAATGATATAATAATGATTATTCATAAATGCAGATCTCTGTAATTTTAATTTAAAAATAAATTGAAACTTTGGGCACTCTTTCATAAGTTTTGGAAGTTATTCAGTCAATCCCTTGAGGCAAAGGTTTTGTTGTATATTAAAATGGAATATTGATACTTCCTTTCCTTCCTACCAAATTCGTTATTCACATTTGTCCTTCCATTCTACCTGTATGTTCTGTGCAGCTGATAAAACATTGTTAAAATAGCCAGGAATCAGTTCAAGATTCATTCAAGATTCAAGTTCAGTATACCCACTGAGAAAGAAATAACTCTGACCAATTGAATGAGTAGAAACATGAATGTGTTTTTGTTGTCATTGTCAAATGGTGTCTAGAATTTCGTCATAAAACATTTCATTTATTCTGATTTGTTTATTAATGCTTTCAGTTTCTAGCGTCATATATAGCATCAAATGATAGACAACCTCTTTATTAACCATCACAACACAACAAATATCAAGGTCAGTGACCCGCAACGGCTCTGCTACATGTTTCGGCTATGAGTAGCTATCATCAGGCAGACACATGGCTAACAACATATACACCATCGAACTGCAGTACTATCAAACTGGATAGAATGCTGTTAATCATATAAAGGAAAACACTTGATGTAAAAAATACAATAAATCATACTATATAAAAAAAGCAGCCTCCGTAGTCTAGGGGTAACGTTCCCACCTCATGACTCAAGGTACGCGGGTTCAAACCCGGTGGAGGTCGTGGAATTTTTAAGGGCGGAAAAATTCAGGGAAGAAGTCCTTCAGAAGGGACTTTAAGCCGTGGGTCCCGTGTCGTAGCTTTACAGCACGTAAAAGAACCTCATGCCTCAAGGAGGTCTCTGAGCCAAATTATACGGATATTTCCAGCCCAACAATAGTCTCTAACGCCTCTGGTAGGTGGGGGAAGCATCTAGNCGAATCGGTCGTTGGTTTTGTAATTTCGTACGTTCCCATGGACAAAATGGAATATTCTATATTTTTTCTTTTTGTATATAAGATTTTATAGGAGGCTCGTGATGTAGATGTAGTAAATCAATGTTAATTGTTTAGTCGGTGCCTCATCTTACAAAGTATTGTCCGTACTGTAGGGAATGTAAACAACGACTCGTTTAGTGAAAGTATAAATACCTGCCGCACGTGACACGGGGGAACTTGGAAAACCACCAGGCTTTCGCGAATCCGCACTAAGATGCGCAAGAATTTTATGAGGTTGCCCAGATGCAACCCATCTGTGGGGGAAACACCCTCAAACATGCGCTGCATGGGATTCAGCAGCTTGGCGAAACAAAAGTGGGATTAACCACAGCCGGCGGGTAAAGGGGGACCCCTGGGGCAAGTAAATTCGATGACGTAGGTTGACCATCACTCTGGCTCGAGCCGTCAAGAAGCCTACCGCTGGAGTTGAAAGGCTCCTTATCCACATGCCCAGGAAGCTGAAAAGTCGCTTCGAGCTTACCTTGATCGCCTTGAGGTGTGTTAGTACTTCCAGAGGAGCCCGGGACCGGTGCCACACGCTCGTCGCCCTGGAGACTGGTGTTGACGTCGGCTAAAAGGCCGTCCAATTGTTCACGCAGTGTTTGGGCAGAAGTCTCAAACTCTGGAGAACTTCCCCCAAATTGCAGGAAATGTCGGAGACGAGTACCAAGGTGGACGAGTCGATGTAGATGGCAAGGGAAATCAATGGCAGTGTGGGAGCTGTCAGTGTTCACCAGTTCCCTGATCTGGAGGAGTTTCTCTCGATACAAGGAAATGGTGGCTGCTGGATCCATGAGCCATTTCATACTGCTCAGGAGCTCGACGTTTTCCTCAACATCCCGGGAGGTCCTGAGTAGTGATCTGAGTGTGGCGACATTCAACCGTTCCGTCGAAATCCCCCGAGCTGCCAGCTCATATTGCAGCTCATCCTTATGTAGGTACTCGGGCAGTAGAGGCTCAGATGTCATGATCGTCATGATCCACACAAAACAGAATAGAAACAGTCAAAACGTCCCAACAAACAAACCAGAGCACAACAACCAGAACTTTTACGTCGTTAATGTTAAAATAGCGGAAATACAAATGTATGGCCTCCAATGACAAAATGTGATATTAAAATGGCTACATCCGCCGCCGCCGCCACTGTCATATATGACCCCCGTTCAATTGTTGTAACTTTTAAATGTGTAACCATTTGCTAGTAAGAATACTTTGAATATAAGCAGTCCTAAAGAGACCACACACGGTGTTATCTCGAGCTAGACGGTTCGGCATGCGGTCTCACCCCCTTCACCAGACTCTTCGAGGGCGCATAGCCACCTAAAAAAACACTGTAGCACGTGGTGGTTCTTTGGGAACAAAGCCCGAGGCTAGCAGATAGAAGGCAGCTCGCAAGAGGCGAGGGTCGTCATTCTCAATGTAACATTTCTATGTATCTTTCTTCATTCTTTTTCTTCTTCAATAAACTTGGTTAATAATATTATCAACGTGTGGAGTGTGGTCTGTTTAATCTTGGGCTCTAGCGTCAGCTCCTGCACCAAGACGAACCCCTGACTCTCAGTGGCACTAGCGAGAGTTTTT